CCCCCACACACACACACAGACACGTTTAGGAGTCTTGAACGTGAACATCCCACCCCCCACGTTTAGGAGTCTTGACCGTGAACGTTTGCCCCCCCCCCCCCCTGTATAGGAGTCTTGACTGCGTACTTTCCCCCCCCCCCCACGTTTAGGAGTCTTGACCGTGAAATTTTGCCCCCCCCCCCATGTTTAGGAGTCTTGACTGTGTACTTTTGCCCCCCCCCCCCACTTTTAGGACTTCTGCCCCCCCCCATGTATAGGAGTCTTGACTGTACTTTTGCTCCCCCCCCCCCCCCCAAACACACACCAAACACACACCAAACACACATACACACACCACACACTATTTGCGGCATCGAAATGCGATGATTTTGGTCTCTAAATTTTGAAACCTTTCCGCGAGAGGACGCCCAGAGGGATTGTTGATGTTTTACATTTGACGTTGTTTTTTTGCATATCAGATATGTGGTAAACCTCTGCCTATGCTCTAATGCAACGGTAGATAGCCGGACCACACAGCAGGAGCAAAACTACACCTGTTGATGATTGTTGTGCATCACTGGCCGATTATCTATGTCAGTCCATAACACACAACAAGAGCTTCGGTTGTTGTAGCTTGACTCTGGTCAAGGCTACGAGTAAGATCATTTCAAGTAATGAAGTCGATGATAAGAAGAAATTCGGCAGCTCTTTCACCAACCGGAAAGAGCTCTTTGTTTCGGGGGAAAACAGCAGCAACACCATTACGAGCACACTGTAACCAAATATGAATACTACAGAAAAAAGGTGAGTACGGTGCTAGCCCAATTCGGCACTAGCACCCCGAAGAGAAAATACAACGTACAACAATACAGTACGCATAGCAGATTTAGGCGCACGATGAGCAAATAAGGAGTTGATTAGATTATTCTCGCGATTCGCGACACTCCCGGGCGAAAGAAGCAAACAAAGAAAAGAAAGCTAGCGGAAGAGCAATTAAACTACAGACGCAGTCATAGTCGCTTGGGCACTTTCAATTTTCAAAAGTCCTGTGTACATTTGAGTCCAACATTTCTAGCGCTATCCTAGCTGATAGAGTGGGTCTCTAGGAGTGTTTTGGCACTAGGGTGCCATCTCGGAGCTGGGGCATAAGGGAGCGGCGAGTGGAATACTGCGTGTCCAATTTCCTGTACAATTTAGATCATGTAACCATGGTAACGGCGCTGACTCATTCAAAGACTGGCAGAATTTACGTCGTATTGTCGACTTTCCGAGTTGCCTATGTGACTGTAAAGTACACCAGGCACGCAGATACATTGAATGTTTGATGATAGGATGATGTGGACTGTATAGACCTCTTCAGGTTCCTGAAATATCATACTATTTTTGGTTCAAAGCTAGCTACACACTAGAGCACAATCAGGTATGTCCAGTAGAAAGTTACTCCTGTGATTAGTTTATACTATTGCAGAGTTCCATTACTAGATTCAAAGTTCCATAATGTGTGCCAGGATTTTATAGTTTGGTAGTATGAGTCCGTGATGATGCCCGAGCACTCAGTGTGGCATGACAAATCGGCAAATCACGAAGTACAGTTGGAAACCGCCTTACTGCCATCAAACAATCATCTCGTTATAACACAATCAAGCCTGTCTACCTCAGATAAGCAAGTGTCTTAGTACACTGTTCTTGATATCATAGGTGTCCTCAGTCATGGGACATTTGGTGATTATAAAAAGTACACAGCAAATGTTTAAAACCGGCACCTAAGAAATCACGGGATGGCCCACGCCTGTTATTAAAAATACACCAAAATGATAAGAATTCTCAAGGCAGAGACCAATGCGCAGCAACACGTACACATACAGGGTTTGCATTTGAGCTGCAATTGCAGCAGTTGGCACTGAGTGTCAGTAACAGTCTGTTAACAAGTTACGGCCGCGAGATACATGTATATAGCAAGGAGCATGACTTCATGCCTGGCGTCGCGGGTCACAAGAGAAAACCCGAGCATTAGAAATAATATTTTACACAATGAGAGGCTTTGGGATGCGTCTAGGCAATGCAGTGTAGCCATTCACTGTGGAGAGAGGAGTCAGTGACTGCTATTAGGTTGTCGTGCACGGGTGACTTATAACCTAGTTACTTGCAGTGACAGTACCGGTAGGACTAGTGAGTATGCTGGCATAACCTGTACAGGCAAACAGTAGAAATAGCATGGAACATGACCAGGTACAAGTGCACAGCGAACATACTGAGGCGCGCTGTCGAAAAGCACGATGGAAGTGGTTGACCTGGAATGTTCTGTTGGGGACTGCCAGCTACACTTGGTTGAACGCAGCTCACTTCCCCGGTGTAAACACTGTAAGCCAACACACACAAATACATGACCTGTCTCAGCACCAAAGGAAACATCTGCCAGGCACAGAACGCGTTCACGCAGAAGATCTGTGATGGCGTGATACTTCTATGTACTATGGAAGGCTATGCACACATATCCTGATGTAGACTATCTTACAGTATGTTTTACATGGAAGCTACCTTGCTTGGACCAACAGTGTACAATCATGCACAACACACAGCCATGAAAAACTTACAAGTAACTACCTGACACTTGACTAACATTCACACTTGAAACATACTTAGGGAAATTAAACAGTCCTTACCGTGACCAGAAATCCATGGAAAGCTGATGTTCAGCAGTTATTCCGCGATCTCGTGGGAGGGGTTGTCAACATCATCAGTTTGACCATCTTCATCATCAGCACTGTCTTCATTGTCTCCATGAAGTGTAGGTGCTGCAAGCACTTCGGACACAGCATTGTGCGGATTCGCACAGGAACTGCATTGGCATGCATCCGTGCAAGAAATGGAGGACTGTAGGCATGAGCACCGGCGCGTTGAACATCCAGTGGCGCAGGCACACCGGATGATCGCCATCAGCTCTGGTGGTGCAGGAGGAAGAAGACCCCACATGATCATGACATTAGAGTCGTTTACCCTCCATCCATGATCACTGATGCTGGGTAGGTCTGGGGATGCGACCAGTGCCCGTTTCCACACACCAGCCTGGTAGTTGGCCCGTTTGACGTGCTGCTCCAAGCTATCGGCGCATGGTGGGAGCTGAGCAGGGGGTGGGGACCGAGTGCAGAACGCCTTGTACCTGGCCTCGTTGATGCTCTCGAGTTCAGGGTGACCGTAAAGGTGGCAGACATACTTCTCCACTTCCTTCTGGAGGTTGACTGGCAGCACGAAATTGTCGCCCATGTGTGCTAACGCAATCTGGTGGCTTTGCTTGCTCTTAAGGACTTTCCACGCCTTCTTCTTTCCTATTCGGTAGAAGGAGCTGGTGCTGTCGCAGCCAGTGACCGCATGGAGGCCAAGCAAAGCTGAACACACCTGTGCTCCCAGCTTTTCAGCGACAGCAGAGATGTCCACGATGCGTGAGGCTGCCCGTCTGCCAGTCTCAAACAGCAATCGGGCTGGAATACTGGACGCTAGAGCAATGCACAAAACGAGGACGTCGGTGTCGGGTGACCGAATGACCACTGCCGAGTAGTCTGCACTTGCATGGTAGGCATGAAGCAGCATCCGCGTGTCGGCCTCCTCCTGTGTTGACCGGAGGTTTGACACCTCTTCATACGCTACGTGGTCACCGTTGGCCTTCAGGAGGTAGGCCATGTCCCGGACTGTTATGACAACGCATCCCCCTTGCCATGCTCACACAAGCACTGACGTCTACCTTACTTTGAGATAGGACAAGTGTCTGCACGGACATGGTCAGCTGGGCAAATGCTGCACCGAAGCTGTCAGTATGACCCAGGGACGGTGCTGTAGTGGACACTGTGGGCTTCGTCAGGCCCTCGAGTGTCCTCTTGTGAGTGTAGTTGGCCAGGCACGAGCGGTGATACTTGATTTCCCTGGCGATTGCATCTCCACCAGACACCTCCCTCAAGACCCGCGAGTCACTGCGAATTGTTGCAGCATTGACGATGTTATTGCTCGCACTGAACGATATGCATTGGGTCAGTGGCTCCTTTTTCCCACTTCTTCTTTTTGACAGGTGCTGGCAGAATAGGCACAAATTTAAATCTGTCTGGCTCCCACTGGAACGGGTCCGCTTTTTGGGGGGCTCAACATCTCTTTGCTCAGGCTCGCTGTCATCACTGTCATCATCATCATAATCACCTTCACTGCCTTCGTCGCCACCAACAGCCTCGACGGGCCGGACAGACTCAGCAACGGCTGTCTTCTTCAAAGTCTTTTTGTTTGTGTACCACTTGTAGCAGGCTTTGTCGTATAGAACTTCGCCGCAAGTTTCTCTATCAAGATTTCCGATCGACATCCGGGTGTCATCTCTCTTCGTCTCAGCTGCATTCCATAGGGTAGTCCAGGTAGTCTCCGTCAAGCGCTTGAGAGGCTGATGAGCAGGAAAATTCGGGTTGTGACAAATGCATTTCACTCCTTCACCTGAAGCTTTCGCCAAGGAAACAGTTTCCAGCCCCAAATCGTCTGCCATGTCGAACAAGACAACTAACAACAGGAATCATAAACACTTGCCCCTTCTTATCTGCCATCTACCTGTCTAGGTTGTCGGACAGATCGGCAAAGAAACTTAGAGAGGCCATGCGATCGGCATTGGATGAAAGCAAAAACACAATTGTCGAACCAGTCAAGTATTAAAGTTTGAAATTTAGTCGTGGGCGGACGTCATCATCCTTTTCACTTGCGCAGAATTCGCATATGCGTGTTTTGAGCATGCGCTTAATTTGCACAGTGTTCGTCTTCGTATTCAAACAAGTCGCCGTAACTCCCTTCAGCCCCAACGCAGAAAAGGCACCCAAGCGCGAAATTGTTTGCCCTGCCGATCTCCAACACGTCCAACCACCCACGAAATGTTGGACTCAAATCGACACAGGAAATCAGAAACGAGCACTTTTTGAGAAACCGGCCAACTGACTATCACAAATCTGGGAAGACCAAAATAACGTGGCCAAATAATTATACGATCAAAGAAAGAAAATAAAGTACATAACTAACTCACAGTGCATCATCATCCCTCAGCCTGCGAACCATATTCTGGCATTTCTGAGCAGCAGCGCGGCGTGGCCTGGCTGGTGGTGTGACGGACGCGTCGCTGTGAGTAGTTGCTGGTTCATGAGTGACGGAGACTTGACTGGCATCACTAGCTACTTCGACTGGGTACAAGTGGGAAACTGGGCGACGGACCTGTTTCTGAGACGCAAGCTGCACAGTCGCTGATCTCACCCATCCATCTTGGCTGTCATAAATATCCACCACTCTGCCCAGTCTCCATGTCCCTCTTGGCATGCCGCTCTCCTTGATCAGCACAACACTGTTCACACGTGGCTCCGCATTCTCGCTTCTCTTGGCTGGTGCACTAAGTGGGCGTTCTCGTAGGCTGGTGAGATAGTCGTTCTGGAAGCATTGCCAAAACGATTCCAGACACTGCTGGCCTCGTTTCCAAAGCGTATTATACGTTTTAGAGCTAGATACAAGAAAATGTGGGTCATCATGTACATCAGTATCAAGAAAACTAGGGAAGATAAGATTAGAACGGAGGGATAAGAAATGAGCCGGTGTCAGAGGACCCCCCACCCCCCGGAACTCGTCAGCATGAGCAACCAGTGGCCTGGTGTTCACAACAGCTTCTACTTTCGTCAGCACGGTGTATAGTTGGTCGCTGGTCAGGACTTGCTTGCCGAGGGACTTGCGTAGCGAGCGCTTAACAATGCCAACCATACGTTCATAGCAGCCACCCATCCACGGTGCATGCTCAACGATGAATCTCCAGTCGACGCCTTGCTCTCCCATGTAATTCATTAGATCCGGATCCTTCACCATTCCTCGCCAAGCCTCAGTAAGTGATTTGTCCGCGTGCTTAAATTGGGGAGCGTTATCGGACCAGATGCGTTCCGGCAAACCACGACGCGCAACAAATCTTCGGAATGAATCAATAAAGTCGACGGTGGACATAGTTGGTACAAGTTCCAGGTGGACTGCACGCGTGACTAGGCATGTGTACAGCACACACCAAACCTTCTTGGATACGGACTGTTCCTTGGTGTACATCGGACCGAAGTAGTCGACTCCGCAGAAAGTAAATGCTAAGGAAGGGTTAAGGCACTCTGGTGGAAGAGGCGCAAACGGAGGAGTGGCATAGTGGTATCCTTCGACTCTCTTGCACGTGTGGCACTTTCTCAGGATTGACTTCACAGTGCTTCTTCCTTGTGTGATCCAGTACTCCCGGCGGATTCTGCTCAGTGTGTGACTTACTCCAGAATGAAGTATCATCTTGTGGAAGTGGGTCACGATTAGTGCCGTTAGTGGTCCTCGATGCGGAAGAAGAGCTGGAAAGCGAGTCTCGATGTTCAATTCGGCATGCTTCAGGCGACCTCCGCACCTGAGGATTCCCTTCTGATCTATGAAGAGGTCTAACTTATGCACGAGGTCGTGCTTGTTGCCGCTTTCGAGAGCCATTAGAACATCAGAGTACTGTTGGCGCTGGGCATATTTCAGCCACAGTGTTGTGGCTTCTTGCAATTCGGTTGCGGATAGTGTGGTGTCACTCTGAGTAGTTCGTCCTTGCAATTTCGCAATGAATCGTGCCGACCAAGCTGTCACTCGGGTCAATTTGCTCCATGATGAGAATCTGGATGGATCGATGCCAAAGGGTGTGTATTCTGGCTGAACATCAGCGATCAGAGTCTCATCTGCTGTAACACATTTTGCAAACTCATCAGGAGTGGGTGTGGTCAACCGTACAGGATCCTCCCCCGGAAAGGAAGGTGGGGACCCCTGCAACTCGCAAAGCCAAGTTGGCCCATGCCACCAAAGGTCGACGTTTCCAGGACATGGCGATTGACCTCTAGAAGGAAGGTCGGCTGGGTTGAGGTCAGTCGGAGTGTGAAAGAACTCAATGGCAGGGTTCTTTCGAATTTCGGTGAGTCGATTCTCAACGAACTGTGACTGTTTCTTCTTACTACGTATCCATCCGAGGACGCAGGAGGAGTCGGAGTGGACGCAGATCCGTGTGAACTCAACCGTGAGCTGACGCTGAATGAACTCGACAATCCGGACTCCCAGCTGAGCGGCTAGAAGTTCCAAGCGGGGAATTGTGATTGCTTTCACAGGCGCGACTCTCGTCTTGCAGAAGATCAGATCTGACGTGCAGTGCGTATCTCCAATCTTTCGAAGGTAAGCAGCCGCGCCATAGGCTGACTTGGAGGCATCGCAGAAAACATGTAACTCGTAACGCTCTGTGTCCAAGTGATTCAGACCAAATGAGCGAGGTACGACTTGGTCGGATGCTGCATCCATGGATTCTGCAATAGACTGCCATCGAGAAAGAATGTCATCACTGAGGTAATCATCCCAGTCGCACGATAGTTTCCAGACATCTTGCATGAGAATCTTCGCAGCAGTAACTACTGGTGAATGCAGACCTAAGGGGTCAAAGAATTGTGCAATGGCTTGCAACAACTCACGCTTGGTTCTGACAACGCGGGCTGTTGCAGAAATGGATGGGACCTGGAGCGTGTCATTCTTGAAGTTCCAGTCAATCCCCAGGCATTTCTGGGAGGATCCCTTGGCCCTGTCCTTCTCGGGCAACATCTCCAAGAAGTCGGCTGAATTCGACGCCCACTCTCGGAGGTTCATGGAAGCCTCAGCAAACACGGACTTCGCATGTTGGTAGTACCGGAGGCTGTCGTGGACACCTGATTTTCCGACGAGCACGTTGTCCACATACAGGTTGTCCAGTATGTCGTGCGAATCTGTCGAGTCAGGCTGCGATCGAAGATGGTGGTGCAGTGTCGCCGAAAGAAGAAACGGACTAGAAATGACCCCAAAGGGTACCCTGCGGAAGCGGTAGATAATAATGTTGCTCGTGACTGGAGGCTGAGTAATGTCCTTCAGCCAGAGGAATCTCGTGACGTCACGATCGGGCTCGTGAAGCGAAAGCTGCAAGAAAGCTTTCTCGACGTCGCTGGTGATTGCTATTGGGAAGAGCCTGAACCGAAGTAATATGCCCACCATATCCGGTAGCATGACGGGACCTCGTAGAAGGCATTCGTTTAAGCTGGACGATGTCTTGTTGGACTTGGCGGAAGCATCATATACAACTCTGAGCTTCGTTGTGTTCTTGGCAGGTGTCACTACGCCATCATGGGGAAGATAGTGAACTGGATGACTGTCAGTATCGCTTTGGTCATCAACGACTGTTTCAAGGATGCCCTTGACCGCCTGCTCCTTGATCGTCTGGTCGTACTTCTCCAGGAGGTCAGGATCCTGGCGCAATCTCCGAAGCAAAGCCTTAAGGCGACCATACGCAAGACCTCGATCCTCTTGCAGATCACATGTGCCCGGACGCCATGGCCATGACACCACATAGCGGCCGTCCGACTGCTGCACGGAACGTGAAAAGCTATCACGCGCAAGTTGATCATCGTCGTGATCTGCATTCCCATCAATGCCCACGCTCTCTAATTCCCAGAACTTCTTCAGATCGAAGTCGGAAGGAGTGCACTGAGGGTCAGGAGCTTCGTTGACCATAAGAGTGGCCTCTTCTCATTGGGTCAGCTCGGAGTGAGGAACCTTTCCCGTGCAGATAAAACCTAGCTTGGTGTCTAGGAGGATCAGGCCATCTGGAAAGCGAGTGTGATCCGTTAGCACAAAGTCATAGTAAAAATCTGTCCCAACCAGAATGTCAATCTCGACATGTTCGCGAGTGAGTGTTAAGGGCTCGGCAAGGGGTAGGCGTTTGAGCGACGGATGTGTCTGGGTATCCAGCGGAGTCTTCAGAATTGGACAACAGATCTGCGGGACAACGCTGGCTTGGACGGATTGGGCAGAGCCATCAAGCAGTTGGACATCGAATTCCACTTGCGGAAGGTTCTGCGTGGTGCGCTGGGATGCACCAAAGTTGGCCATTGCAGTGACATCAGTGCCAATTGTAGGCATGTCCAAGGATTTCCGAATCGATTCTGTGATGTACGTTCGACTGGAACCAGTATCGAACAAAAGGCGAGCTTGAAGGCTTTGCCCCGACTCATCCTGGATGGTAGCAAGGGCTGTCTGCATGATAACATGTTCACACGTCGATGTAAGTGTTTGAGTTGCAGAAAGAAAGGGTGCAGCATCGACGCTCAATGTGGTGGAGTTCTTCGGCCTCTGCTCTGATTTCGCTACCGAGGCACCGCCAAACTTCTTAGTGCACAAGCTTCTGTGATGTGTCGACAGTTTACAGTGGAAGCATGGTCTCGCCTGTTTGCAGTCACGTGCGATATGACCCGATCTAAAACAGATAGAACATCGATCCTTGAGCTTCGCGTGAGCTTTGCGTGCATCTAAACCTCTGTACTGTCCACATTCATCGCTAAAGTGCGGCCCTGAACAGTAAAAACATTTCGGAGATCTGCGTTTCTCATGATGTTGCAAGAGGGATACGCCAGTCGAAACGACATTGGACGGAGCAGAATGCCGTTGGTGTCCTTTGTTCGCGTCGTGACATTGGCGTTCACTAGTTTCCTTGACACGTACCAAGATGCCAAGGGCCTTGCGTAAGGATGCGACTGTCCAGCTGTCGCTGCCCCGTGCAAGCTCGAGCTGCACCATGACAGCCTGTGGGAGCTTTGCTGTGATCATAGGAATAAATAACGGGTGTTCTACGTCTTGTTTGAGTGCTTCAAGACTGCGGAGGTTCCGTTCGATTTCGTCAAGTAGTTTCCGCAACGAAGCAGGTTTGTCTGTTGCTGGAGGTAGATGCGTCATGGCTGTGTAGTGACTGTCGATATGGATTTGAACGTCACCAAATCTTTCCTCTAAAACATCCATCGCAATGCGATAGTTGGCACCCGTCAGGTCGAACCCAGCAATTGCCTCCTTTGCGACGCCTTCAACATTCTCTTGGAGATATGCAAACTTTTCCACATCAGACAATTTGCTGGCACCGACAGAGGCTTGAAATATTTCGTGAAATTCACGGAATTTCGAAAAGTTGCCATCAAATTTGGGTAAGGTAAGCTTCGGTAGCCGGATGGATGCATACGAACTACCATGTGAGCTGTCTGGTACTGCGGGATTTGAAACATTAGAACTGGAGGGAGAACGTGATGTTGCAGTGGATGATGTAGCAGTGGATTGTGAAGGTCGCTGCATGTTGTCTCGTTTGGATTCTAGGCACCTAAGTTTACCCCTACTGACGAGCCCCAGTTGCAGTCGATCTTTCAACCCCGACTCATTTAAATCAAGAAAGCCATACTTCATGCAAGCGTTATCAAAAGTAGAACAGGCAGCCAGAAAAGAATCAATAGCAACGCAAAGTTCAGAAATAAATAAACTAAGCTGTTGCAAGGATACATCGTCGTCGTCCAGCACCGCGTCGGCGGTCTTGTTGATGGAGTAGAGCTGCTCGTTGCTGATAGTAGTCACTTGCCTTGCGTGTAAGACCTGCGGGGGTGGCAAGTCGGGCTCATCGTCATCAGATAGTAAGCACTTTGCTGCTCGAGTCTTCGCCTTCTTGCCCTTCGGTGGCATTTTGAATTTCCTTCAGTAACAAACTCTAGTTATCTAAAGGTCGGGTTTTCGGCACCAGTTTGTTGTGCATCACTGGCCGATTATCTATGTCAGTCCATAACACACAACAAGAGCTTCGGTTGTTGTAGCTTGACTCTGGTCAAGGCTACGAGTAAGATCATTTCAAGTAATGAAGTCGATGATAAGAAGAAATTCGGCAGCTCTTTCACCAACCGGAAAGAGCTCTTTGTTTCGGGGGAAAACAGCAGCAACACCATTACGAGCACACTGTAACCAAATATGAATACTACAGAAAAAAGGTGAGTACGGTGCTAGCCCAATTCGGCACTAGCACCCCGAAGAGAAAATACAGCGTACAACAATACAGTACGCATAGCAGATTTAGGCGCACGATGAGCAAATAAGGAGTTGATTAGATTATTCTCGCGATTCGCGACAATGATGATACCGATTCATATTTACCGTTCCGATGATTGTCTTCTTCAGAGTGATGTAGGTTCTTTAAAAAGTCAACTTGAAGACTAGTTCTGCTCCTTGTGTGTGTGTGTGTGCGCGTGCGCGTGTGCGTGCGCGTGCGTGTGTGTGTGTGTGTGTGTGTGTGTGCGTGCGTGTGTGTATTGCAGTAGCACAACCCAGCCCACACATCTCGTATCATCAGCAACTGTCATCGTCCCTACGCCCGGTCTATCAGGCCAGACCGCCGCACAGAAACCATCCTACAGCAAGCCTTCGCGCGACACATTCAACCGCAGCCATGGTCAACAGTAAGTCATCGCAAACCAGAGAGTTTTTCTAAGTACTCTCATATCGCGGTTATCCGGACCCCGAAATTACAGGCACTTTATTTCTCGGGGCACCCTTTGGGTGAGTTTCAGTGGAAATACCGTAAAATTCCGTTAATAAGCCCCGGGCGTATACTTTGCAGAGCGTCAAAAACCGGGCGTATATTTGGGCATGGGCTTATTTTAGGGCATGGGCGTTATTTCGGACGCAATCTGCAGAAGATCAATCTATCAGCAACCCACTAGTTGGCAGGCGACATGTTTTGCTACATTTTTTGGCAGTTTGCTACATTCCAACGGAACATCGCTGTCCTCGCGCGCCGTGACAGTGTTGAGTTCTGCACTGTGCTGCGTGCAGTTGGAGTGCAAGCACTCGATCTACAACTGTTCTACAGTTTGTACGCGAACGCACGCTCGCGCGCTGGTCATTTTGAGTCCACTTTACGCCCTGGGCTTATTTCGGGCATGGGCGCTAAAACGGACTTGAAGTGTACACTGCCTAAAACTGGGCTTATTATCGGACATGGGCGTTATTTAGGGTGGGCTTATTTACGGAATTTTACGGTATTACTATTTTGTCATGCGCGGTTGAGTCACCGTATATACATTGGTATGCTGTGCTTGATGGAGTTCTAGCCTGGTCGCTCTTTGGCACTCCGTTCTTCGGTGCCCGACGGTACTGTAGTGAAAGAGAATTGGGATATTGACTGAGAATTAGGTGATGTTGAGTATAGTGTAAGAGTGAGACATGGGATGAGGAGGGTGGGGCAGAATTTGAAAGCTGTCCGCAGGCATGGAAACTGGAAAAGACGGCAAGCCCTGCCGTGCGTACGGGAAACCTGTACATGCGCCAGCAGGGGGTTCTTGCCAGGTAAAAATTATAGGGATGGGGAGGGGGGGGGCTGGCAGGGAAACATTTTCTTTGAATGGCATGAAAAAGCACAAAGTGCCCACGGACTACATGCAAAGTTGAGAGAAGGAGCGATCAGAATGAAGGGTTAGGAGCCGGGCTAATCGGCAAACGTTGACGCGGGTGTCCACGGAGTGCTTACAGAGCAGGCACTGAGGAGGTGCGCTGATCCCTACCGCATTCGGTTTCTGAGTGCTTTCCACTGCGTTGGAGGCGCACGCAGGCACGGCAGCAGAAGGAGTTGTTGCACTGGTCCTCGGTGAAATTGCGGCAGGTCTTTCTTCTCAAGAATCAAGATGGGTTGGCGTGCTGGACTGTAGTGTGACTCCCCTCCCAGCGCCGACGGACGGAAGCCCTGGTCGAAAGGGGCACCGGGCATGGACACCTGGGTGCACCAGGGAACATCGTGAGCATGGCGGGCGACCGCGGCTAGTGAAGGACGGCTGCCACAAGTTAGGGTGAGAATTTGAAGGCTGTCTGTCTGCATGCATGGAGACTTGTCACTCTCGTGTTCCAGCAGCAATTTCACACATCCCTCATGCTTCCGATCTTTTGCAATGTCTAGCACTGTTTTCCGTTATTGGTAAGCAGTGCAGTATCCAAGGTGACACCGTCACTGTCATGTGACGCGAAGGACTAAAGGGACAATTTCACACATCCCTCATGCTTCCGATCTTTTGCAATGTCTAGCACTGTTTTCCGTTATTGGTAAGCAGTGCAGTATCCAAGGTGACACCGTCACTGTCATGTGACGCGAAGGACTAAAGGGACCGTCACTTAATTTGTTGCTGACTACCGGCCAAAAAAATCTTTTCGTTTCATGTGTCAGACACGTCCGCGTACGACTCGCTACCTTTCACGTCAAGCAATCTGTTCACGCCACATGGCTGGATAGCGCGTACATGCAAACATGATTGAAGACTTACAAAATTATTTTTTACAAGTCCAGGCGCTCGGCCTAGGCGAGCTGCTACTGACTGTTGTGAGAGTACTGACTCTGTACTCAGTACTGTTTTCCGTTATTGGTAAGCAGTGCAGTATCCAAGGTGACACCGTCATTGTCATGTGACAGCATCACCTTGACAACGCTGGTATGGTTCCTGTAGGCTGCCATGTGAAGCGGACTCCATCCTCCCCGGGGGATCTGCAACTTGGGATTAGCTCCTCGTTCGATTAGTATATTTGCTAATCTGCCATGATCCCGCATTCCACACTACTAGTGCAGTAGTGTGTAGTTCAACCAAGTTTCGTCTCCATCATTAATGTCTACATTATGGATACTGCATATGAAGTGGACGACACTGTAGAGGATTTCATCTCAAAGTTGTCCGCCGTGTATGCCGAATCCAGGAAGGAGCATTCCTCCCAGTGAGTGCCGGTACATATGAAATGGACGATACTGCAGAGGATTTCATCTCAAAGATGTCCGCCATGTATGCCGAATCCAAGAAGGAGCATTCCTCCCAGTGAGTGCCGGTACATATGAAATGGACGATACTGCAGAGGATTTCATCTCAAAGATGTCCGCCGTGTATGCCGAATCCAAGAAGGAGCATTCCTCCCAGTGAATGCCGGTACATATGAAATGGACGATAGTGGAGAGGATTTCATCTCAAAGATGTCCGCCATGTATGCCGAATCCAAGGAGGAGCATTACTCCCATTGAATGCCAGTGTGGCCTCTCAGTCCTTGATGGTTTCCATTACACTTTACAAGATGTTGAGCATAGCTGCAGCTGTTCAGTTGGACCAGCAGCTTGAAGACTTTCCTTTGTGGATCCATTGAAGACTTTCCTTTGTGGATCCATTGAAGACTTTCCTTTGTGGATCCATTGAAGACTTTCCTTTGTGGATCCATGGAAGACTTTCCTTTCTGGATCCATTGAAGACTTTCCTTTCTGGATCCATTGAAGACTTTCCTTTCTGGATCCATTGAAGACTTTCCTTTGTGGATCCATGCTTCGCGTGCAGCATGTACATGTGTACACGTAGGCACTGCGCGAGATGATCGGCTGCACAGAACTCGGACCAGAAGTGACGTCGCTTGTCAAGCAGATAGCTGGCGCTATACACGCCGTCCTCTTCTCCAGGGGATAGAGTTCGACGTGCACTTGGAAGGCAATCGGCGGTTGACGTACGATTCAGCGCCTTGTAATCTACTCGGGCCTCCGCCTCACGGCCACAGAATTCCAAAACCGGACTAAGAAAAAACCTTGAAGAAGACTACTCTCTATCTCTCTTTCTCCCTTTACTTGTCTTTTCTTTTAAAAAAAACTCTACTTCAGTGGTATGGACACTACGTATGAAATGCTGTAGGCTGTAGGCTACAACCTTCACACCGAGGCTCAACTGGAGTGACAGGAATGCGCGCTAACAGGCTGTGAGTTGTAGCCAGCAGGCATGGTGATCAGGTGACTAGTGTACAGATCGGCACATGACCGCTTTCTCAACCGTGTTCCAGTGTTCTAGCCAGGTCAAAATAGTAGGGGGGCGGGCATGGGAAAAAGTTACCCCATGACCCATTTTTTCCAATGTCCAAAATTGTCTTGCCATGCAAAATGTAACATACGGGGTGAACTCCCGACTTCACCCCTCACAAATGTGCCTTTATGAACCCTCTAGTAGTGACTATCGACTGTATTTTCGTTGAATGGCGTGAAAAAACACAAAAATCGGAAAATGAGAAGGGGGCGGCACTATTTCACAGGGGGGGGGGGGCGCAAACGAAGTAGGGGGGCGCGGCGCCCCCCCCCCCCCTACCCCCCCCTTTGGTTAGAACCCTGGTGTTCGATTGGGAATAAGAGCTGAACGCTGCATCGCCGTCTTCTCGGACCAAAAACAGTCGACTCGGCATCCGAAAGACTACAACGTATGGGCCAATCGCGGTCATACGTGCTTTTATAAGAACAAAATGGCGCTTTTAGTGACATTTTCCATACAAATCCCCGCCTAGTAGGGCGCAGTCAGCCAGTTTTGGTGAAAGTGCGCAAGTACTATTGGGAATAAAGGAGGAAGGAAGCGTCTCAGCTTCCTCGGACCAAGACCATTCGACCCAGCACCCTGAAAAGCACGAGTAGTGACATTTTTTCTAGACAATGCTTCCTCGGTTAACCCGTTTGGCTATTTGCATTCCTCAAGTAGTCCAGCATTGCTTGTAATTGTATGTCAGGGTTTTAACCAGGTCCAAATAGTAGGGGGGGGGGGGCAGGGGAGACGGGTGCTCCGTAACCCATTTTTTCCATTTTCCAAAATTGTCTTGCCCTGCAAAATGCAACGTACGGGAGCGAATCGCCGACTTCACCCATACGAGTGCGCCTTTATGAACACTCTGTTTGCGACTAGCCACTGCGTTTTCATTGAATTGCCTGAAAAAATCGACAAATGAGTGGGGGGGGGGGGAGGGCACATTTTCTCAGGGGTCGCTCGATTAGAGTGAGTGAGTGTTTGGGGGGGGGGGGGGGGGTGGCTGCGTCCTCCTACCCTCCTTTGGCTAGAGCCCTGTATGTTGTTGTGAGGATCTGTGGATTCTACTCAAATTTCTGTCTGCCAGTCCATGTGTTGTCTACCGACTTGTGCGGACCATTGGTGTTTTCTACTCTCTGTGCTGCTGAAATCTGATTCTCCCAGCGGATCGGGTACAGCCATGGATCTGCAGGCGGCATGTCAGGCGCTGGCATCGGGATCACCTCGGTCAGTTTGTCTCGTGTGCGCTGGTGTCATCTTGTTCAATGTGTGTCTGGAAAGGAGAAGTGGGAGGGAGGGAGGGAGGGCTATGTGTGCTTGGGCGTGCATGAGTGGATGTGGGTGCTAGCGCGCGCGTGCGTCTTAGGCGGGGTTCAACTGTATGCCGTTTAGCCGTGTACTAGCGGATGGCAATCCAGCCAGATTTCCCCAATCCAGCCAGATTTCCCCAATCCAGCCAGATTTCCCCAATCCAGCCAGATTTCCCCAATCCAGCCAGATTTCCCCAAACATAACAGTAGTAAACCCTTCTAATTTTCCGCAAACTCCAACGCAGCCACTTACACATTAAGGAAACTTCACTTCTCAACTCCAAAACGATGGACCAGACCCGGAAATTTGGTGTAATGTAAATCTTAATTTCATTTGAATCGCAGTGAAGAGACCGTTTTGGAGTTGAGAAGTGAAGTTTCCAAACATGGCAGTAAGTTAGTAGGCCAGGTTTAGTTCACTCCTCTCGGGCCAGCCAGTGCTGCAGTCGTGACATCAGTCTGACGGTGATAATGCTGTGTTGATTCGTTCTCTCCTGTGCACCGCTGCAGCAATGCAACCGAAAGGTTTATGAGTGCTGCTCAGCCTCACCCACCGCCTTCAACGCCACGAAAACCGTAAGCATGAAAAGAAAGAAAAAACTTCATGTCAGGGAGTAGTAAAATACCTACTACTCACTGCATTCGACCCCACGGAATACCACGGCATGCCATTTCCCCCCCCCCCCCCCCCAGAGGCCCTCGGCACCGGAATGTCCACGGCGCGGTACGGCAGGAGCCACGGAATGAACTCGCACCAAAACTGCCCCTCACGTGAGCAAATCACCATGGGTACTCACGGCACGGCATTCACGGGACCGTAGTGGAAATCGGCCCTTACAGGGTGCCCAAGTACAGGGTAGATGTCTGTATTTCGTGACTGAAAAATCTGGGTGCGGCTTATACTCCGGAGAATAATAATATTTGGGCCAGTGCATGCGAAAACGTGTCTTCGGGGGAAACCGATTTCTTTCAGAATTTGAGAAAATCGCTCGGAAAGAAGAGTTATATTTTTTTGTGGCTCGATCGCGGATCTTGTCATTCCTAATCGATCTCAAGACGACAAGAGAAGCGACAAGCAATCGACTTGCAGCAATCATCATGGACGTGGCGGCGCAGGAGGAGTTGGAAGTAGCACTTGAGGAAGGGCCTCTGAGTAGACACACTCGCGGCAGACGCCGAGCAGCACGTCAGTTGAGCTGCGCCGCTCGCGTGATTATCGTCGGTGCTTCCGTAGAGATCGGCAAGGTTTACTATCGAGGAGGAAGACGACAATTTATTTGGCGAGTCGTGAGTCGGAGCAATCGGCAACTAGCAGCTGTACGGCATGCTCACAGTAACTCTGACGAAGCCTCAGCTAAGCGTCCGGGAGTGAAAGACTCCTGCGTTGAGGTTGAAGGCGAGTCGAGAGCGGATGAATTAGGCGGAGATTCTGTGGGGCGACAATGAGCAGGACGCGCTTCAGAGCATTGCCGCTGTGGACTCACTGATCCTCGAAGGCTGTGGCTGCGTTTGGAACTACCTAATCAGCAGCTTCACGCCGAGCGCAATCCTCCATTACGACGACTAAATCTCGGCGATGAAATCGAAGGACCTCGGCATTTTATTGGTGTGCTGCGTGCGATGCACTCATGACGATCCTGTCGACTGTCGCGCATCAGTCGACAGCTTCCGCAAGGGAACGGACGCGCATCACGTTTGGATAAACTGTGATGGGATACATCGTGTGTGGAACCGCGTTTATGCAGCTCCATGATCATGATGATTGTGGTTGGCAGAACATGACTGTGTGCACGTGGAAAAGGAGAACATTAGCTGTCACCCTGGTGCACATGGAAATCTGGCAATGTGCCTTGGATTAAATATAGTGCAGAAGTGGGAGACAGAGCGCAGCAGTTTATTCTGAACTACAGGTTATTGTTCAGTCTCCTGCTGTCTGCTGCACCAAGAGGGAGAGGTGAGGAATCTCCCATAAACTTACCTATATCTGTCGCCTACAAGTTTGCCCTTTCGGGACATGTCGAGCAGTCTTGTGAAGCGCAAACCCTGGGTTACCGTATATTTTTGTATCTGTAGACTAAGAAGTACATGTACAAGTCCATGGAGTTCATGACGCGACGGATGGATGTGTGCAACAAGTGTGGGCTGCTCCGGGACGATATTCGTTCTCCTCGTGCATAGGATGAAAAGAATTCTGCAACGGAACCACTCTGTGACCATGTTGTCTTTGCACAAAAAGAACGCGAGTTCTTGTTAGGTCAACGCCGCAAGAACTTGCTGGACAATGTTGCCCAGTTTTCACTGGAGAACAAGGCAGCCTTCATTGAATGTCTTGGCCAATACTAAAGGCTGACACGCAAAACTGTTGCTGCTTTCAACGACACTGTAGATAATGCATTATACAAGGCATATTCTATTTTGGACAATGCCATAGAAATCATGGTCTCTATGTACTTTCAAATGTGAAATCCAACTTTATCTTCCACAGAGGTGTTCTCTAGACCCCTGTAATTGATTTTCAAGAAAGAAAAAAATTTCCAAAAATTTGCCCTTAGACACGGTATTGCATGCACTGGCCCAATATTATGGTATTCGTCACCGATTTTTTGTTGGAAAGCAATTTGGGACACCTCTTTTGGAATCCGATTTTTGATCGGCTGAGAAGCAGTTACAGGTCTTGCTCACTCTAGTACAGTATACACATGCATGCCATTTAAGTCAGGATTTCGCAATCCCCCCCCCTCTCTCTGGGCGTCGGACAGGGATTGCAACCTGAAAGCCGCGATGCCCGTGAGGCTTTCACACAAGACCGCCCGTGCCATACGTTCTAACTTTACCCGGTACGCCTGATCGACAGAATCAGGTTGGCTCACAGGGATAACGTTATTAGCCAGCAAACACAACTGGAAATCGAGAGCGGGTGCACAATATACTGAGTAAGCACCAGCCCCCCCCCCCCCCCCGGATTTGACCATTGCTCTTGAGCTCCTGTTCGTCGGTTATCTCATTGCCCATAATCTGTAGTTGTGTCCATGCGTGCGTGTTGGTGTGTGTGTGTGTGTGTGTGTGTGTATGTGTGTGTGCATATGTGTGTTTGTTTGCCGTGGTTTCTTTCGGCTGTGCCTGGCTGTACCTGTATATTTGGATGATACCTGTCAGTGACAACAACAGCGGACTTAACCCACAGGAAACGTAAGGCACTAATGTAGCTAAAATAAAAGAAATCACATGGAAACGAGTTATGAAGCAACCATCCACTATTCATGTGATTTTTTCTATTTTGATTATATTTATTGGCTCAGTAACCGAGTTAAATTTGCACTAATGTAGCACTTGCTATATTTATAGCTATATTTATGTAAGCTGATGATGGAGTACAGATCATTTGCTAGAGAAGAGTATTTATATCTGTCCTTGAAGACAGCGTCCGGGTCAAAAAACGATTTACAGTGCTGCTCGATGAAAGCCGATCAAGTGAGTCAAGTGTGCGCGGTGCACCACACCTTGTAGGGCGGCATGTGAACCAAGAGCCCAAGAGCCCTCCAGCCATGCCGCCCTACTGCTTGTATAGTGTGAGTGCATTTCTGTGCAAAACGAACTTTGGCTATAACGAACTAATTCTCCTGCACAATGGTGTTCGTTACATCAGGAGTCGGCTGTGTTCACATCCGCGCTCAGCCTGTATGATTGATGCTCTGCCACTGTGCACTGTGTATTGTCGATTGTGTTTTGTGCCTGCCTGTTTCAGCTACTCTCACCTGGACCGCTGCGGCTCGAATGCCGACGGCGTTTCCGTGAGTGGCTACTTGACAGCGCGCACGTAAGTACAATGTCTGTTCAGCGTACGCTGTAGAGATCGCCTGTCCGTGTCTTCACTGTCCAGGCAGGCTTGTCCGTACAACAGAACTGCGTTCTCAGTGCCATGTCAGCTACTGGTATGATCATCACCGTGTCATGGTGTATTGCCTACAGATCATACAGACGTGTAGTAGCCTATCCTGCTGCTTCTGCTTTGGCCGGAACCTGGTCAGGACACCTCCCTCTAAAGTAGCCAACAATGAATTGATTGTGAACAGGATGTGTAAAAAAATCATCGTGTGAATAGTATGATTGTGCCTTTGTGCTACATTTTGCTGGACCAGTTTCAGCTGCAGTATGCGCTGGAGTTAGGCCTAATGGCTGTGCACCATGCATGTGGCAAACCAAAGAGTTACGACCCTGGCCGGTGGATGTGATATAATTATGTGCAGCACTTTACAAGCATATCGAACTGATAGCCGTGCGAAAGATATCCAAATTGTTAGGTGTGCACGGACGCTTCGGATGCCCATGAGTGCCGCAGTGTCTTGTATACTAGCCTGCCTCATGTAGCAGCCTGTTTTGAATACAAGCTTGATATTCAAGATGCACTGCCGGCACATACGCCTGGTTTTCGTGTTGACATACACATACATAGAATGCCTAGTTTGAATAGAAGCCTAGCCCTGACATTGGCCTCTACAGCAATAAGCCTGGCCTTTATATGCGACATCACGGGTGCATTCATTGTTCATGTTTTGGACATGCTGTTCTTGTCACGACCAGACCGGAGAACAATGCGGCTGCCCCTCCAGCAGAAGCTTACGGAAGTCTTCACCTGCCAGCAGTGTATGACGCACTGCACGACACGAACCAGAACAACTCCGTATCTGAGTATGTCACCAGCCTGTGTGCTTTTGATTTGTATGTATCCGCCCATCTAGAGTTGAACTCGTCTTTGTGTGGATGCCAGTGTCGCATGCTCATGTGTGTATGTATGTAGGGTGTAGAGTGTACGCATACCAGAGAAAGAGGGAGGGAGGGAGAGACAGAGACAGAGACAGAGAGAGAGAGAGACACACACACGCACACACACACACACACACACACACACACACACACACACACACACACACACACAGGCGGATTAGGAAAAATTGCGAGAGCTTGATACAAGCAAAGGTCTTCCTTCGGTGTTGCTCACTTTGTGTTCACTCTGCAGCTCCACCTACAGCCTGTTCGGCGAAGTGAACGATGGCGTTCGTACCCAGTCTCGTGCTGCTTCACCAAGCGTTGGAGCCATGGCAATGGCAGCAGCGGTGCCAGCCCAGACAGCAGGACGCCGCACTCCCAACAGGTGTGTATAGGATGGCGTACAATTTATCTATCAAGAAAAAGGATGCATCCAGTGTGCCCAGAGGGCTCCGGGTACGTGGCTCGCACATCTGTGATGTGCTCGCCATGTACCACCGGCAACCTTATATCCGCTATTTTGACTATTTAGTACATTTGACGGCCATTTTGCTGGTGTAATGACCAGACTACCCTGACTATACACGAGCTACCCGCCTGGGTTCGGATGCATCCAGTGTGCGAAGAGGGCTCGGATGCCACAGACGCAGTTCGGACGCATCACAAATTTCCCGTGTCGTTTTAAGGCCATTGTGTCACCAGGGACAAGAGAATTAAACGGAGCGGGCCCTTTTCTGGTATGCGTCTCTTCTAGCTGTGTACTAGACCGTCTAGATGCCGTTCACCCTCTCTCTCTCTCTCTCTCTCTCTCTCTCTCTCTCACTCTCTCTCTCTCTCTCACTCTCTCTCTCTCTCTCTCTCTCTCTCTCTCTCTCTTTCTCACTATGCCTAGGTATGGTGACAATACAGCTGGCCCCGCATTGCAACCTTACGGCAGTCTACAACAGCCAGAGAGGTATAGCGCATTGCAGGAGAGGTATGTAACACATTTCATGTTCTCTATGCTTGCGGAACTGCCGGGTGCTGGCAGACTCTGAACAACTTGACAGCTCTGTATTTCTACTTCCTCCGTTAACAAAAACTTCGTGATGGATTTTGATGGATATGAAAACGCTTAGAACAGGTCAAGAACAGTTTGTATCGACTGCCAATCACTGGACGAAGGTGATTCAGGCTATGTACAGCGTCTTTACAAGAGACACTGTTGGCGGAATGAGCAGAGAGTTCAGTTTGCGTCGCTTTCGCTCGACCAATTTTGGACCTGCGTCGCTGTCGTCATCTGCTCCACGCGCGTCGTCATCTGCTGCACGCGAGTCGTCATCTCTCTCGAGTCGTTGTTCGTTGTTCAAGTCCCTAGAATACTACAATGCCCTCCCTGCTAGCATTCGTGACATCTCCTCCCGACCTGGTTTCAAACAAGAAATCTGCTCACTGCTGATTAACTCAATCTGCTCCTGCAGCGCTCACCCTCTCCCATACTTGTAAAGTTCAAAGTGATGTAAATCACTTTCCAACTGTTTAACCCACAATCCCACCTTCTCATCAATTTATCTCTTATTGGCGATGGTGCCATCGTGAGAATAAAGAATTCAAACAACAACAACAACAACAACAACAACAACAACAACAACAACAACGACAAAAGTTGAGTAGGAGTAGGAAGCAGATTTTGGCGCTCCCAGTTTTTCCCTAGATTTCTGCGGATTGAGGCTTACCCGGGATACCAGACCCCAACCATGGAGCGCAACATTAGTACTGCTGCCCGAAATGGCGAGCCACGATGGAAATCACTTACCCGTGAAGACATGAAGGCCAACACCGTAGTTTTCACCAGTCACGCCGGTATCAAGACAGTGGATGTAGCCGAGGCCCTTGTTACCCAAGGGTACACGGACGTCGCCTCCGTCCAGATCACCAATTCCAACCTCACAAAGGTAACGTTATTATCTGCTACGCAGACTGACGCACTGCTGGGGCACGGGTTTTTTATCGGCGACAGACATTTCTCTGTACGCCCTGCATTCACCAAACAACTACAACTCCATATCTTTGATGTCCCGATCTGGATCGAGAATACCGTTATCTGCAGTGCTTTGGCTGCATTTGGCCAGATCCAGGGAGACATCCGCCATGGTCAAATTCAAACCCCGTCGGGGATTACTGTAGGGACAGGTATGCGATTCGCCACCATCGAGCTGAAGGAGGGATGTCGGCAAGTTCCGTCATTTGTCCGCACAGCCGACCAGCACCAGTTTCGTGTCCGTCACGAGGACCAGAGGGCCACCTGCAGGATCTGCATGGGGGAGCACTTTGCTCGATCGTGTCCGAGCAAGCGGCCCACGAACAAACCACCCACAAATACACAGAGCACCAATTCGGCTGCACTCCCTGGATCACAACTGAGCTCGGGTACAAGTGCGCCCGATGCAGGAGGTAGTGAGGCTGTTGTGAGTGCTAGTTCAGGTAGTAGCTGTACAAACACAGACCCCAGCGCGGAGCCCGAGAGCTCAAATCAATCCACCAGCTCAGCACGCACGCGCACAGAGCCCAAGGGTTCACACTCGTACGCCAGCGCAGCTCAACAGGGAGCCCGCGCACAGTTCAACTGTACGCACGGGGCGGCCGAACAGGTGAGCACTGCACCCGACGGATCCCCTGCTAGTACTAGTACTAGTAGCAAGGATGCAACACAGAAAACCGCTGAAATGAACAGCGCCAGTGCGTCTGAGAACACAACCAGCGACGGGGAATCCAAGGAAATACAGAGCAATACTCCATCCTCTGTCGACCAAACTGAGGTAGCTGAGAGTTCCAGCTTGCAGGTAATCGCTCCCAGTACACCGCCAATGTCCGGCACCCCTCCGTCTACAGGCACTGGGGCAGGCCACGACGACGGGGCCACCACGGTTGCCTCTGACGATGCGGATTGGATACCCAGCGGTCCTCGTCGTCGCCGACACAGCCACGGCCATTCGACCATGGAGGAGAAAGCCAAGGCCGATGGGACATGGTCCTCCCCTCAGAGGAAACACCTGAAATACTGAGTCCAGATAAGTTTCAACAACTAGCCAAAAGACAAAAACAAAAACAAAATAAATAAAAATAAATAAAATTCCCCCCCAAAAAAACAATACCAATGTCAGTGAATTTGAACTTTCTAAGCACCAATGTGCGTTGCATATTCAACAAAATGGACGAGTTACTTACCTTTACCCGTTCGTGCTCTGAATCTCAGAACGAACTATCAGTCATTGCAGTCCAGGAAACCTGGGCTGACACATCAGACCCTGACAGTCTCTATGCAATCCCAGGCTACAAGCTGATCAGAGCTGACAGACAGGACTATGGTGGTGGTGTTGCCTTGTACATAGTGGAACGTTTCAACACAAGGGTACTGACAATACCAATGACAGCAGCAGAATGCATATGGACGAGAATATCCACCGGTAACCTTTCCCTCGTTGTTGGAAACATTTACCGACCACCCCGTAGCGATGGCACCCTCTTCTGTGCGGAACTGGAAAGAAGCATCAAAACCGCTAGAGCCGAAGGTGATGACCTCCTACTACTTGGAGACTTCAATGCCAAGAACAGTGCGTGGCTCACCACAGACAGAACAGATCGCCTTGGGGACGACATACAAACTCTGCTACACACATACGGCCTCACACAACATGTCAGATTCCCTACTTACATCCACCGACAAACACCTCTCTCATGTCTAGACCTTGTTATCTCCTCACTCCACACCAATGATATTCATATCCAATCACTTCCACCGTTTGGCGCATCCGATCACACTACTATCAGTGGCCACATCAATAATCAACTGCCCCCCATAATTAACAACTCCCCTCCACGATCCAGAAGCACCACATTCTGGTCATGGACAGACAGCACTATCCACCTTCTTCGAGAAGCCCTTTCACGCACAAATCTCAACCACCATCCAAACCAACACGACCTATGCCCAGTTGACACCTTCTGGCGATCCTGGCGCGACAATGTCCTGAGCATCGCCCAAGAACACTGCCAAGTTAATCGCACTCACCCCCCTTGGGACAGGAAGAACGTGCCAGCACGACCATGGATATTAAAGGGCCTCTTGAAAGAGATCAAGGATAAGCACAGAAAACACAGAATATACCTTCACTCACGCTCGCCTGACGACTGGAACACGTTCACTGCCCAAAGAAACCGTGTCACCACCCTCCTGCGTCGTGCTAAATCGGATTTCGTAAACAACTCAACAGCCTCCTCTACTTCCCTACACCGCCTCATGAAGCACCTAACTACAGCTACAAAACAACGCATACCCGAACTCGTCAGCCAAGCAACTCCTGCAACGACACCAGCACAAAAAGCCGCTGCCCTCAACGAATTCTTCATTTCACAGAGCAAGCTGTCCGTGGCCAATGCGGATGAGCAAACTCCAGCCATCAACACCACCCCTGACATCCTCAGTCCCCTTCAAGAAATCTCGACTTCCCAAGCTGAGGTCGAAAAACTCCTCCGAGGAGTTGATACCAACAAAAGCCCCGGGTTTGACTCTATTCCAAACCGCCTCCTCAAAGAAGCGGCTAAGGAACTTGCACCGTCGTTATCGTCCCTCTTTAATCTATCGTTCCAAACCGGAGAAATCCCACAGGAGTGGAAAGATGCCACCATTACTCCAGTACCCAAGCCGGGTGACCCAACCCAACCAACAAATTATAGACCCATCTCTCTCTTGAGCACTACATCAAAAATCCAAGAAAAAATTGCACATCAACTCCTCTACAAGAACATCACACCCCACCTGCCCAACCAGCAGTCCGGATTCCGCGAGAAAGACGGCACTGAGCAGCAGCTCGCCCGTCTCGTCCATACCCTCTCTACTGCGAGAGACGACGGGAAACACGTCAATGCCTGCTTTTTCGATCTAAGCAAGGCCTTCGATCGTGTGTGGCATGCAGGCCTTCTAGCAAAACTCTCCCACTATGGTGTCCAGGGCAACGCCCTGGAGTGGTTCCGACGGTACCTGTTGGGGCGTCGGCAAAGGGTCCAGGTGGATGGCGACCTATCGTCTTTCCTCGAGATCCCTGCCGGCGTCCCTCAGGGATCTGTTCTTGGGCCGCTTCTATTCCTCGTCTACACCATAGACCTTCCACACGCATGTGAGAATCCCAGCACCACCTGTAGCCAGTTTGCAGATGACACCGCTCTGATTTCCATAGCGAGAACTCTTCAAGACTGCACCCGAAACCTATAACAGAGTGTCACAGCAGCTGGAGACTGGCTTCAAAGATGGCACCTGCTGGTTAACACAGAGAAAACAGTCATCCTCCCGTTCTACCACAATAACCGCCCCCCTGAACAGCTACCCCAGATCACCCTCAGGAATAGTCCGCTTACCGTAGCGCAAAAACACAAACACCTCGGAATAATCTTTCAGCATGACCTCCGTTGGACGGAGCATGTTGAATACATAGTCAAAAAATCACTCAAGTCTTTCAATATTCTTTTTAGACTAAGGTCTACACTCACCAGTGATTCTTTATCTCACATCTATCAGACATACATACTACCTATATTCTCTTATGCGAGCAATGCTCTCACACCGTTGTCCCACACTTCCCTTGACAGGCTAGAACGACTCCAGCGGAAAGCCGCCAGAATATGTCTCCACCTTCCCCTTTACACACACTTAGAACACTCCCACCTTTTGCATCGCATCAAATGGCCAACATTATTTTCACGTTTTAAAGTTAAACATATACTCTTCGCGCATTCTCTGCGCCACAATTATGCCCCACCACATATACTCTCGCTGCATACTGCTAGCAACGTGCAACCTTCGTATAATTTACGTCGCTCTCGTACTTGGCACTTGCCAACTCCGCGGACTGACCGCTGTCTCCATTCTCCCCTGTACAAGGCCCTTCATTACTTTAATTGCCTGCCCACCCAGCTTCGCGAAATCCCTTCTCGTACTCCCTTCAAATCCGAGATATCCCTGCTGTTGCACAACTCTGTATGCTCGTGTAGCGACCACCCCTGCCCGTACACTTAAGTACGCAACTCTGTATGCTCGTGTGGCGACCACCCCTGCCCGTACACTTAAGTAGTCATTAACCCCTAGGCCCTGCCCACCCAATTCTTCCTCACTCTTTCTCCTTTCTTACACTATTATCTCTTATTGGCCACTGGCTATCGTGAGAATAAAGATTTGAAACAACAACAACAACAACAACAACAACAACAACAACAACAACAACAACAACAACAACAACAACAACAACAACAACAACAACAACAACAACAACATCATCAAGAGAACATAGGGGACTACAAAGGGCATGTAGGTGCTATTGAGCTGTGCCGGTGAGGTGAAGTGCGCTCCCCCGACCAATGGTCTCGGGATCAAGGCGCACATCATGCACCATGAGGGAAAGGGAGAGAAGAAAGACTTTGAGTGAAGAGTTATTAAATGTGATTTACTTTGGAGCTTGAAGTAATACACAAAGAGAATGAAAATCAACGATTAGTTAATGAAGATCCACGTACGTGTATCATAGTATTTATTCAGCTTAAAAACACCTGGAGGATGTTGCTGGACTTAAATTGCTGAGAGAGAGAATCCCATAATTGGTATGCCATGAGTACAGGCGAGTGGCTCATGGAATTGTCTCTTGTAATCGGGAAAGGCAGCGAGTTCCTGATTGTTGAGGATTCATTGAGCCAGTTTACGGAATGCTGTACATGCTGAGGGGCAGTGATAAGTTTGATTTTGTGAATGTATATGCAGGAGGATCGGTCAACGTAATGTTTCAGAGGAAATTTATAGCCGTCAGGCAAAATTACTGGTCAGTCGGCGACACGCATTTTTCACAAAAATTTGCGTTTCACCTGCTGGGAGAGTATGCGTGTACTCGAGTCTCATCCTGAGCACGTTTTTTTCTTCTTTTTTTCAGCTCCAGTATAGCTGTATTTTTCATTGCAAAGCCGTCCTCGATTGTTGTGTTCGTTGTTCAAACGAAGTGGACATTCAATCATGAAGGCAGAGGACATAGGAGCCTGATTGGAGTTTCTCGCGGCATAGGACGGCCACACAGAGACACTTTGGGATTTTCAACAAAAACGAAGATTATTTTTCATAATCCCCGCAGCGCTGCGCGCCTAGGGGATTTGAAAAATAATCCCCTCAGAACCGTGCAACATCCTATACAAAAAGAATGTGATTTCATCAACATTTCATTGGTCTTCGACCTACACGGGCAGGGAAAGTCCCTGTTAGTAGGCCTATAACACGGTCAGCGTGTTCTTGAGTGCAGTAACAACACAAGTGTGATCACTTCCAGACCAACGGGCGTTCAAGGCGAGTAACAAGCGCACTTGACGAAGGTGACTCTGAAATCACGTGAGCCGTGATTCACGCGGCCTGGCATTCTTGCGTCACAAGGCACGTGATTTCACCATGCCTCTCGTAGTAAAATTCAAGAATTGCGCTCATGCCTTCAGTCACTTTGCATCAACAGTCGCACAAAAAATTATTGGTGGCGCAAGAAGAAGCTTGTCGTTTTTAGTGACAAGTGATTACCGCTGCTTTTCCTTGTCAGAGCCAACAATACACTTTGTTCTGCGGCCTTGGGAGCAGTGTTGAAGTAAAAATTGCGGTGGAGGGGCGAGCTTTCCTGCGCAGGTATGACTTTGGCCGTATTTCAGCATGGTCGCGTGGAAAAATTCAAAAAAGTTTAATTCAAGGAAACCCCAAAAAGAAAGATGGGGGACATGTCCTCAGCGCTAGAAGAGGTGTTCTACTATCTGCCGGTGTATAGTTCTGGCCAATTGACGACGTAGCTGGCTGTTTTGCCAGCGCTTGTAAATTGGCTATTTTCAAGACGATCATTTGTGGCGTCAGGGGGTGATGGACCTCGTCTTCTGGGATGCTGGCGTGGCTAAGCGGTACTGCCCCAGGAGCACTTCTAAGGTGAGGCAATGTTGGCTTCATGGAGTTTTGTTCATAGCTTGTTCGTATACGCTGTGGCGTGACTCGTTTCAAGACCCATAAATAATGTGATATTTCAGCCATTTTTGAGGGTATGCAAATTTCAAGGTTCCCTTCAGAAACTTTTTTAAAGGGCTTTGCACAATCGATCCACACCCCAATGGGAACCTACCTGCAAATTTTGAGCGAAATCGGAGAGATCCATTTGCACACATACTTTGGTATTCTCGGACACGCTCTCTTAATCAATACCAATACCATTTCCGTTTTTATCGTTCCACAAGACAGAGAGATTGGAAGCTGTAGTGCAAGTCCAAGTTTCCACGATCATCAGGAAACCTGGTGGCTGATAGTTGTGGATACGTGTAGAAGCCTCTGATATCTATGGGCATTGAGGACTCTTTGGACAGTGGAGCACAGTTGAGTATCGTTATCAAGGTTGAAACGGTGTGGCACAAGTTATGCGCAAGAGTTTGTTAGTTTTTCGGCTCTTTCTAACTTTCTTGCCGTGGAGTATTTCAGAGCTCATTATCTGTCTGGTGCTACTTTGTGCACGTCTGACTGTGCAGAATCTGGTCTAGTTCGCGAACTCTAAAATAGAACTTGTTCCACACCGTTTTCCATGTTTCCAATTAATTTAACCACAAAGGAAATTTAAAAAGTGCGATAGATCTTATACCAGCCAGAAACAGTTACTTGAATTAAATAGAAATCAACTGGGGGCAAAATGCAAAACATTCGGTGAAAATAGGAGGGGGGATTGAGATATCATAAACCAGGTGGATGCACGGAGCAGGAGCATGTAATGCTCAAAAGCTGATGGGATGCATTGTTCTGGAATGGATTTCCACGAAATTGGGTTGTGATGTGGATAGGGGTGGAGTTGACAAGGATGACAGGACTGTTAATGGGAATAATATCAATATAAAAATTCATGAGCATGTGGCCTCTAATTTCCTACCACTTTGAAATTCTCAACGAAGTCCAAATTTGAAAGTGTAATTTGTGTTTGCTCGCAGTCGACATAGTTTGATGCACTCCCCACGATTTCAAGCGAATGGCCGAGGGACCTCTTGATTAGTGTGAGTTGCCAGTACGATGCAAGCCAGATATTGATTGATCGAAGAATGACAGATTTGCCATCACTGTAGATAAGAGTCATACTGTAGCTCAGTTGGTTAGAGCATTGCTCGTGAATAGCAAGGTCACTGGTACAAGTCCCGGTGGTGTGACTAATGATTTTCCTTCTTTCTTATCTGGCTTCCAAGTGTCGAGTTTCGGAGAGAAAAGAGCAGTACACAGCATATTGCTGGTGAACGAGATTTCATTTTTCTTGGCCAGGTCACGAAGTTCGTCAAAGCCGAGGATGGCAAGATCGGCATTAGATAGATCCTCAGCCATACTATGTCCACTACTTCAGAATTACCATGCGTGGAAACTAGTGGAAAACAACAGCTTAGTCATGCTCTGAAAATCCTATTAATGCGGAGTAACGGAATTTGCATCCATGCAGCACTGTACAAAAACTTTGGAATGAGTTCGAGATTGCAGAGTGAATGGGCAGAGAGCGAGTCTGCTCTGAAACATTTTCCTCGCTATATTTTAACACGGAAAATGTGGGCACAAGTTATGCGATCGTGTCCACCAGCTAAACCAGAATTGTTAATCCATGAGCCTTCCAAGTCAGAAGACCGTTGATTAGCGCTATCGAGCAGTGCTCAAGCTGACTTTCGTGCCGTGGAATGTCTCAGTACTCCTTGTCAGTGTTGTGCTAGACTGTACACGTCTGACTGTTTAAAATCTGGTTGAGTTAGTGACCTCGATCGCAGAACGTGTGCCCACATTTTTCCAGGTAACAATGTTTTCCTAGGCTCACCGTCTGATTTCCAACTATAATTATAAAGCCTTCTATAGTCCAGCCCGGCTAGACGAATAGGATAATTGATCACCCAGATAGTTGACGTCTGGATATTCGGCGTTCTACCGTGACTGTATGCTAAAAATATTTGGCTTAGTAAAGCAAGCGCCATTCAAAACAATGAGTTGATCTACTTTTCGAAAAAACTTTTTGCACCCTTTCGGTCTCACTCGATTCCTCAGTGCTCATTTTACTGGAACTGATAGCTCAAGAAAAGTCCTAATTTTTGGATTGTGCCAAGCAATGAGGTTGTTTCACCTCCACAATATGTGCGTTCTGCCCAACCTCATTTACATCAACAACGTGACTCCAAGCTGTAGATATTGGCCAATAGAATGAAGTCGGCCACAGTACATACAATGTATGTACTGTGGCTGGAACAAATTCTATGATGAGTAGACGGAAAGCTCCTGAATACTCCCGTAATCCTGAGGAAGCACTTGGTTTATAGGGTAGATTTAGTGCATACTCTACTGCACGTGCTCTCAAGAAACTTTAAATGCAGTGGATGGAGCAGTTATTTCGTTCTCACCACTCCATATGTGTATGTTGTGCGTTGTATGTCGCAGAATTTGAACTTTCTTCAACTTCTGCGACAGGCACCTTGCGAGCTGTATGCAACAGCTCATAACAGGCAGTTTCTTGTCGCAGCAGTCGCAAATCGCGTGTCGAGTGGCAGAAAGTTGTATTGTGAATCGGTCTTAAGCGGTCAAATATCAGTATTAACCATACAGGATAATAGAAGGATGTTTGATGAGATCGAGCTCATTTAATCACTGCGTTTGTATTAATGTGACCGACATATCATGCTATAGTGTATCTCTAGTTCCGGTACACGTATCTTTAGATGCCTCCTATTATCTGTTTACTCTGCTCTTTTGATAATATTTGAAGGAACGAGGATCAACCAGGCTAACTCTAGCCCTCAGCGTCACAGCCCGAGATATCAGAGTGAAGTCCCCTGCTAACGCTGCTGAACCATCCAACCAGTGTGTTGCATGAAGAGTGGAACCAACTTAGTATGTAAGATGTACACCTGGTTTGTACGCTATTTTTCCTACGCATGCATTTTCCAACTATCAGTGTAACTACATTTTGTGCTGTCCATTTCTTAGTTTATGTGGACAGCAGCCCTTCTCTCTTCATACAATTCCTCGGGAATCACGCATTCTATTGCTGAAAGTAGGTATGTAAAACACATGCAGATGTTTGCTTTAAATTTGTTCATCCGAGAAATGTTTCTCACGTTCATATCCAATCGCTATATTAGGTGCTGTTTTATCTATGCATGTCTGGTTTGCTTCATTTCTATTTATGGCAAGCAAGGACATTTAAGAAAGCTATTTGAGATTTTTGTAAATATTTTTGGTTCTTGTTTACTTACCTACGTATAATGTTATAGGGACTGGAGACTGTCATTAATGAAAACCGGAATACATGCCTCTCTGTGCGGTGTAACCCTTCGATTAATTTAGAGGAGATTAAGGATTTCTGTTAGGCTTTCTGTTTTCATTGAGAGATATGTTGGTAAGGTATTTCATTTGCGAGAACAGAAAGTTTCTATTTTATTACACAGCTAGGCTTAGTTATCTTGGATGTACATCCAAAATTCATTGCAGTATGGTTATTATGTCCAGAACTCAAAAGATGTGTATTAACATTATTATGTACATCATGATAGCTATATTTCATGTCCGATGGCGGCCTATCTTTTCGTTTTTCCTTCATTACCTTGGCACATGTTATTGGGGCTGGATATCATTTTCACTAAATTTAGAGGAGATAAAGATTTTCTGTTAGGCTTTCTGTTTTCATTGAGAGATATGTTGATGAGGTATTTGATTTGCGAGAGCAAAAAGTTTATATTTCATTACACAGCTAGGATCAGTAAGTGAGATTGTACTCTTTACACCTTAAATTAGGATTCATAATCTTCAGTATTTATCCTGAATTTGATTGCAGTGTGCGTATGGCGTGCAGAGCTCAAAGGACGTGTACCATGAGAGTTCTAATATATGTCCACTGAGGTCCTATTGTCATTTCTATGACTTGAAATTGATTTTGGTGGAAGATTAGACACACACACAGACAGACAGATTACAATTGCTTGGTCACGTTGGACCCGCATTGCTCATTGTTGTGCGTGGTGGACAAGACCCTTGTGTTGGTGTTGCACGCACGTGTGATGGCTTTCTGTAACTGTAGTGTTTCCAGGACCAGGAAGACCAGGTCCAGCCAATCTGTCTGGCGTTTGGGTCAACAAAATACGAATGACAAGAGCATGCATGCATCCACGTAACAGTAACGGTCCATGTAGATCCAAAAGCCAGCATTGGTTATGCCTTTAGGCCTACTGTTAAATAGAAGCTTCAAGCCCTATTCTTTTGGGTTTGGGAGAGTATAGTTCTTATGAATAACTGTAGAGCAGCAATTACGTGTGGAACTGTTTTTCTGTAAATCTGGAGATTAGCTATAGAATCGTGAGCTGCGCCATTAGACCTTTCAATAAAACAATGGCCCTTTATCCCTTTTCTAAGCACTCGCAGACTCCATTGCAGCCATTCACACATTATAGGGTACCTCACTTCAAACTCTCCAACTACGGTCTCTTCGCTGCATATGTTCACTTCACTTCAAAAAAAAACAAATAATATTAGTTATACTGAGCTTGTATACAAACTCCCATCTCTCCCCACACAACACTCCAGACTTGTATTTTGCATATAACAGGTACTTCGATGACGAGAATATAAACTGGTATATAAACTGGTATATAAACTGGTATATAAACTGGTGTATAAACTGGTATATAAACTCCTTTTTTTTAGGATCACACTAGTGACCTGCAGTCCGCCTTGATGGTTTTTCGACATGCACGACGGTCCCAACTTCAGGATCTCTTTCCCGTCAACGATGAAGAATACAACGTCGTCCTTTGTAACTGGTGCCTTGTGCTGCACCTGACGTTCGAGGCTGTCCTTCTTTCGCTGTTTCAGCACTCCGTCTGTCAAGCGCAGCACTCGACATGTGCGGCTGAAGAGCCCCGCGTGCCGCTCCTGCGTTTTTGCATCGACATAGAATGCAGATAGCAGGGGCGACGGAACTTCACTACTGATGGTTTTCCAATCGATGTTCTCCTTTCCGCGTCCCTCGCAGAGCGGACGGAACATGCACAGCCATAATCCGTGGCACTGCCAGTGTTCTTGGAAACTGCTGCTTGAATAATGGCATCGTGATTCGTGGTCGTCCTCAGAAGAACTAAAGAAACGTTTGGGAGTCGATTCAACAGGCTCGTGCTGATTCATTTTACTCTTACTTTGGAAAGGAGACGAACTCTATGTCTCTAATGAGCAAACGGTTCTTTTACAGAGCCCGCGGTGAGATCTGCGCGCGGTAACGGTCACTAGCACTGTGAGGTTCAAACTAACTAACTTACTTGGCGCATAGCTGTTACTTCCGATGTAACTAGTACTTCAGTACTAAAACTGAAGTCACAAAGAGTGTGTGATGGTACTGCACTGCATGTACTGCACAGAGTCAGTGGTAGTCTTGTACTTGATCCGCACAGGTTGGTGAAAGGAAGACTCGTCGAGCCATGGTTGTGGGTTGGAATTCCAATCTCTACCCTTGTGGGGAGAGGGGAGTTTGTATATCAGCTCAGTATAAGCATAATATAACCTACTCAGTTGATTATATGGGAAATATAAACCAATATACAAACCTCGGCTTCGCCTCGGTTTGTATACAGGTTTATATTTCCCATATAATCAACTGGTTAGGTTATATTATATACATATAAATTGAATGCACCAAATTTTCGGGCATGGCCCATCTTCAGTTGAATGGTTTTCTTTTTCACCCTGAAGATGGGCCATGCCCGAAAATTTGGTGCATTCAATTTATATCTAATATTATTTGTTTTTTTTGGAAGTGAAGTGAACATATGCAGCGAAGAGACCGTAGTTGGAGAGTTTGAAGTGAGGTACCCTATAATGCCCTGTATCCCTCTCCATCATGTCAGCTTCACAACTACCCCAATATCTCGCTTTTCTGCCCTAGATTTTTAACTAACCATAGTCTGTCGAGTGCATTTAGGAGAGGAGTAGGGGAACATTGGATTTTCTCGCCGTGAATAACTGGCGCTTTGCATAGGTTTTGGATCTTCATCCACACTTTTGACCCTCATGTCGGTGGCGTACCTGTGGTCAATGAAACGTGTTGTTGGTTGACATTCTTGGGTGGATCGGAAATATCATAGATAAATACGAAGGCAATTTTCGCGAATTGTGAAGAACCAGTTGCTACTATCTAATTGCACTCTTCGTGCTTCGATCATACATGACCGTAGACGTGTATCGTGTTACTGTTGCATGGGTGGACGGTTGCTTCATTTGCTTCATAACTCGTACTCATGTGTTCCTATGTACAGTGCTGGCAACTGGTATCCGACCCCCTGATCAGTGCTGGTGGTCTGCATGGTAAAGGGTTCGGAGGTCATGTAGATAGTGTTTTCAATGAAAAGCAGGGTAGAAATCATGGCACTACAGTCACGGTATTGTATGCTCGAACTCGTCTTCTTCAAAGTTCTTTCTCACACTGATACAGTACATGTAGCAGAAGATGCGAGTGAATCAGCCTTCATTAGGTATCCCGTAGCGGACGAGATAGTGGCGGGTAGTCCGCAAAACTCCGTGTACATGTACATGTACATTACATTTGCACATTATGCATGTTACGAAGTCATGAGAGTCTGGATTTTAGCAGTCATGATATGACTGCAGGCTATGGAGACCGTGAGTTGAACATGATTTCAACGGTAACTCAAACTAATTTGGCAATGAAATAATACTTTTACTTCAAAAGTACTGAAGTACAAAAGAAATTGTCGTGAGTTCCCTTCGGGACGAACACGATAATTTACTTACTTTTTACTATACAAAACAAATCAAGTGATGAATAGAAGAACTGATGTTTTCTATTTTCCATGTGGATCTCTGACATGCATGGACACTTTGCAGCTTGGTATGGGGATACTCATGTATTTTGTTGTACTTATGGCCACTTGCAACTTGCAAGTACGAAAAAAGCACAATTTTCCGAACTTTGAGGCTCCATAAGTACAACAAAGTGAATATAATATCCCCTGGTGCCAAAGCATAATAGGGAGGTTTCGGTCTACGTAATTACGTATGAAAATCCGTATTTCGTACGCGCCGGAGAGCGAGGGCAACTTTCATACGTAATTCTCTCTACGAATTTCCGTAGGAAAGCTGTTTCCAACGTTGGGTCCTCCGTAGGACTTTTTGAAATATTTTTTCGCATTTTCCGCATTTGTCCATGGCAACGTTCAAGCCGCGCGAAGCACAAGGTACACATACCGTACACCAACGTGCAAAATAAAAAGGGAAACGCGGTTTCGGTTCATGGTGCATGCGGCGGGCGCATGCAGCCAACGCGTCTCCAAAGCAACACGGCATGTTTAGCAGTCGTGGAGATATCACGTAGAGCGAAACCCAATCGCTCTGATTTTTACGTATGAAAATTCCGTGCAGTTCCTACGTTATTTTCATACGTAATTCCGTAGAGCGAAACCTCCCTAAAATGAGGATTTTACGAGCATAATGCGAGAATCCATGAAAGCATAATTCCATGATTTCGCGAGCATAATCCGCCGGAGCCTTGTAGGTACACAGCATTGCACGTTGTGCCTTCAAGGCTGTTATCGACCTGGATCGAGCCTATGAGACTGGCCACGTGGCCAGAGCTTTTTGAGAAAATTCAGTTTGCTCAGCGCATTTTTCCATTTACCCATCCTGTATTTTCACGCCATGATACAGGAAAGGAGAGAAGCTAGGACAAAGAAGCCCGTCAGCATCGCATCAATGCCAATTGGTGAAAGCATGCAAAGGGCCATGCTGGTGAGCTGCAAGGAATGGCCTATCGTGTGATATAATAATATTATCCTGGCACAAAACTATCAGGCGAATCTAATCATAGCCTAGGAGCTGTGGCATCATTTATGATTCACAGCAAGAAAGCGGCAATGCCTGTACCTATGGTTAAGTAAAATAAAGGCAACATCTAAGAAGCTGCCAGTTTCTTGCAAACATGTATGCCATTGGTCAGATGTTTGTTGGCGAGCTTGGCCCAGTACTGCAAGGTTTGGGAAGATTAGAATATCCGACGTGCCATTTGCTGGACTACTATGCTGCCAAATGTCACCTCAACGAGGAGGTGCTTCGTCAGGCTTGCATTGGCCAATCACATGACCATACTGGGTTTCATTGATTGAAACATCAATTGAAGCAAACCAACCTGACAATAACTTGCTCAGCCTTTTTTTCGTTGCAAACCTTCGTAGCCCCACCAGAACCTTCAGCGTGTGGATACACATGTCCATGCATAAGTGTCTTATAAACCAGAGAGGTTCCAGGTTGCTCAGGAAAGTGCTCAATACCGAGAGGCAGAGCTAGTTCAAACAATACGAGGACGGAAAATTGTTTTAAAACACTTTCCCGTCCTCTTATTTAAACTCGGATACTGAGCCAGTAATAAATGTTAAAAAAGAGAAGAAACACAGAACTAACGTGCATCTTTTAAATTCTCTCTATTAGTCATGAATTTGGTTGCTCCCGCGAGGAACACACGCTTTCTTCCTAACTTGACTGGCTCTTGACTGCCATCCCGAGCACACGCTGAGCGCGTCGTAGCTTCCACTCAGCAAGCCTGCAAGAAAGCACCACTCCCTGCTCCCTGTGTATTGAGTTGGGACAACAGACTTGTTTAACCTAATTGAACTTAGTATCAATGAACTCGATATCGATGATCCTAGGAAAACCAAAAATAAAGATTTGTAAAATTGAATGAGAAGTAGCTCACTCCTTAAATTGACTCGGAAAGCCACTGGTCACTTCCTAGTCTGAAGATTGCACTACCTTGGCCGATGTGTCCTCATAGTCAGTTCGGGTATGTTACTTCCTTCAGATCTGTACCTTTGTACATGTACCTTTCGGCCCATTTTTCCGTGAGTTGTTGCTCCGTCCTACGCGAATTGGGCTTGAAATTGCAACATCACATTCTGCTCGGGTCGGCAATGGTCGTGATTATATTGTGCACTTCAAGAGCGGTATACTCACACTGCAATCAGACACGCTCCAATAGCATGCGTATAAGCAAACATTAAAGAACAAAAAGGCATTTCTGGACAGCTAATACATACAGTGCAGACTTCAGCATTTTCTCACTGAAATCATGCACATTCCTGATTCGGAACAAATACTCTAGACAAAATAACAGGTTAGTAATAATACTATTGGACACGACATGTTCTGAAACAAGGAATGTGGCCGATACTCTTAGCCATGGTCACAGTGGGGCTTTCTGACGACTAGTGTCAAACGGCTGAACCTGCATATTTTTGAAAATGGATTATTATGAGGATACAAACCACACAGTTAACTATTATATTTTTTTATTTTTTTATTTATTATTGAAAAACCACAAACCTTCAGATATGTGAATGTGCACATGATATACAGTGTACATACGTATGTATCGAGAAGGCAATACTATTGACCACGGATGTATCCACAAGAAATGCAGGGATTGAACAACTATTGGTGAACATCCACATACGAGTAATGTGGATCCTCGGCTGGTTGAACTACTCCATAAGCATCACTTTTGGTGAGGACACTTTCTGCAAAGCCGGCGTCTCCATATGCTGCATTTTCCGTAAGATTGGGCATGGTCTCTGCTGGTTGACTTGGCTTTTCGGGACGTATTATCAAAACTAACACAGCTACTATCAGTGCAGCCACTAACAAGCCACCAATCCCGCCAATCAGTATTATAACGCCTGTTCCTATGCCTCCATCACCTGGAAAGGTAGAAAAAGAGAATGGGAGAGAGTAAACGGGAACGAATAAAAACATTAGTCCCTTATTCTATGCACCAAAGCCCTAAAAAAGTGTAATTGTTGAGTGAAATTTGAACGTGTTTTGCGAATGCATGCTCATGAGTCGTCGATAAAATCAATATCCAACATTTTCACGAAACCAAATACTTTCGTTATGGGATAGGAGGGAATGACCAATTCCGTTTCAGAAAATATTGATACGATCTTACATGTACATGGCCTTAAGAGTAGTGATAGACTTGCGACATTTCTTGTATATACATTGACCATCTACATGTATTCGTCAACACTTTTTAAAGGTTCTGAAAGGGAGGGAGGGAGGAGTTGGGTTGGAACAAAAATTATTTGTTTTCGTGAATTCTTTTTCCGGACAGCATCCAACTGGAGAACCGCTTCTATCGCTCTGGAATGCTGTAATTTTCACGAACGTTTTCACAACGATAATATCTGTGGTGATAGGAGAAGCTACTTGTTTAGAGTTACAAATGGCCAATTCTGCTTTTCCTCGTCAAAGTGAACAAAAAACCGCGTTCTCCAGCTTTGTAAGTGAAAATGCCAACACGAGACTAAGCAAATCCGCCCACGAGTCAAAGTAATGTTGTTCCTGCGCCTGCACGTGTTATCTCTTCGTCGTAGCTGCTGCTGTATTTGTGTCTCTGTGTGTACATGTGGCTGCACGTGTTGTCTCTTTGTCGTAGCTGCTGCTGTATTTGTGTCTCTGTGCTGCTGACCCGTACATGCTGCTGCGCTGCTTTGTTGCTGACCCGTACATGCTGCTGCGCTGCTTTGTTGTTGACACGTGCACCTTTTTGTGCTGAGTACACCACCTTTTGTGCTGACGAGGGCACCAATTTCTGATATCATGTTTTCCTTTTGCCATGTCAGTCGTCAGTTGTCCGACGGTCGTCGCCAGTTGTCAGTCGTTCGTTGTCAGAGTCAGACGTTTGTTGACAGTCGTCAGTCATTCGTTGTCAGTGTTAGTTCTCCATTATGAGTTCTTCCGTCGCCGCTTGAAGTAAACTATGAAAACTCTCTCTCTCTAGCTCTAGAGAAAAACCACTGACTAGTTCGTTTTGAGGTGTGGCGTGTCGAGGATAGAAGAGGCAGTTCGTTCTCAACCTTCCGAGACGACATTTGGCGCCCAACTAATCGAATCCACGACCAATGACGTACTACGAACGCCCAGGCCCCGCATTGGCGCGCCTCCTCAGGTGAGCACCCGGTCTTGCTAGTTTGCGCCATAGACCGGGTGAAGTACGTAATAAAGGTAAGGCATTGCACAGCTTCATAATCAAAAGAGGACTAGTGGTAATTATTATAGGATCAAGCTGCTATTATAATTATAGTGTTTTAACATACGAAACTGGGAAGCCTGAGGTCACAACGTGGGAAAAGGAAAGTGCGAAGTACTGTTGACGCGCATGGGACATAAATGCAGCGTCAGAAATTCGGCGCGGAAAATCATCACCATGACTATTTTTTGAGTCTCGAGCTGACAACTTGAAGTTTTTTCGCTCTTCAAGCTCTTTGAGCACTGAGGAGCATTGGCTTTGTCTTTCAATGGTGTGACACACACCGTGTATTATTGTTGTTATTTTTGAATTGCGGAACGAGAATGGAGATTTGGAACCCTCAACGCGCGAGGACTTTCCTCAGTTGGGAAGCGGCGAGCGCTTGTTCGCGACGCTGAAAAATTCAATCTAGACTTACTTGCTTTGCAGGAACGAAAGTTACTGGAGAACTTGAAGGAGCGAAATGGGAGATACCGGCTACTGAGGTTTACACCGGAGACACGAGCTCGAGGGCTGGGGTTTCTTGTCCTGCGATTGCTTGCGAATTCCTTGCACAGCGCATGGCCGGTCGGAACCACGGAGCGCATTGCTGCCGCTCAATTTCATGTACCGTACGGGACCGCGGATCGTTGGCTACTGCTCAGCGTGGTCAATGCGTACGGCCCAACGCCATTCATCACCAAGAAGGATCCCGATGAGCTGGAGAAATTTAAAGACACACTTACGAATGTCGTCAACGGTCTCCGGAGGAGCGCGCTTGTGTTGGTACTTGGCGACTTCAATGCCAAAGTCGGACCGCGCAGAAACGGAGAGGCTTGCATTGGCAGTCATGTGAAGGGGCTGCGTAACAAGAAGGGCGACGCGCTTGTGCAGTTTGCAGACATGAATGTATTTGTATTTGCGAACACGTGTTTTCAACATCCCAACCGCCACCTCACGACTTGGGAAGGCAGGACTCCTCGTGGAACCCCGATCTATAATCAAATAGACTTTATCCTGTGTAAACACAACACTAAGTCATTGCTGCAGGATGCCAGAAGTTATGCTGGAATTGAGACATCATCGGATCATCGCCTTGTCTCATGCCGTTTCTCACGAAAACTACTGCCTTGCGTATGGAAAGCCCATGGTCAACATCCATCAGCCAAACCCCTAAATCTTGTCGAGTTTTCCCGCAGTGAAACAAGACGCAAGTTTGGAATGAAAATGGGGGAAGCAGCAACTGAGCTCTGCTGTGGATCGGGGCCAAACCTCAACATTAACTCCCTGAACAATGCTCTGCGGGGTGTTGCCGGGACTGTACTCGGCAACAAACCAAAGTCCAGACTGCCATATGCAACTGGCGAGGTGGAGGCACTGTCAAAGCTACAGAAAAAAATTTGGATGGACATCAACAGTGTGCAGGATATCTTAAGCCGTAAGCAACTGCAGCAGGAACGAAATAGAATTCAAAAACAAATAAAGAAGATAAAACATCAGCTGGCATCAGAATATCTGGACAAAAAGGTGAAGCAAATTGAAGACCTCAAGGATACTATGCAGATGTTTGCAGCAGTGAAACAGCTCCAATCCAAATCTGGGAGTGAACTTGTTGTTGACGGTGTGGATGGCAAGCAGATTTATAACAATGAAGGCAAAGCCAAAATAGTAGCCAAGCACTTTCAGGAGCAACCTGGGCCGGCTAGCAACATGATGATTGATGCCTTTGAAGGCATCCCGCGATCTCTTAACAATCCCATTACCCAGGCCGAAGTTGTAGTAGTACAGTAGTCTGCATTGTGCACGTATCCCGTACGCACGTGCCCTCACTATGCACGCACGCATACACCTTTGATGTGTTTCTTTATACACGGATGTTGATGAGAAATAAAGGGTTCTTCTTGACAACACAACATGGTGGCAGCGGCGGGTTTTCTTTCTTTCGGTTTATACTTCCCCATTGGTGCTTGGACGCAGCCTTTTCATGCCGGGAAAGAGCCGCAAGAAGGGAAAATCCTCGCCCGTTCCAGTCATGAGCTCGCCTCCCGCCGGGTTGGATACGACGTCCGCAAGCGCCGGAGCTACGTCGTCGTCTGATGAGCAGCTCGCGAAGCTCATAGCTCTACTCTCTCAGCACCAGCTGCAGCAGAGTCAACAACAACAGCAGCAGGCCCAGCTCTCGCAGGCGTTGTTGCAACAACTCACACAGGTGTCTGCACCAACCGCCCCCGTGTCAACCAGCAATGCAACTTTTCCCAAATTGCGGAGTTTGGACGACGAGGACGATGCAGAACAATGGTTTATTGCCACTGAACATCTCCTCAACGGTCACCAGGTTGATCGCTCTCGCCATGGCTTGGCCGTCATTCCGTATTTGAAGGGCAAAGCCCTCAGTGCCTACAATAATTTGCCCACTACGTCCCAGACGTTCACCGACATCAAAGCAGCTGTTCTGGCTCGTTTCCGTCTTGACGCAGAAGAGTACCGTCAGAGATTTCGCTCCACTGCTGTGTCCCCCTCCTGCGGCAACTACACGGAGGTATTTCACCGTCTGTTCGATTTGTTCGACAAGTGGATGTCGCACTCCGTATCGAGTGGCTCTCAGCCCACCCTGCAGACGGTCGCGGATGAGATTGTCAGAGAGCAATTGGTCGCCGTTCTGCCCCCAGGAAACCAGCGACATGTCAGGGAGCAGCCTAAGCTAGACGCTCACCAGACAGCAAAGCTGGCCGACTCTTTCGTCCGAGCGCGTACGGGTACCCAGGCAGGAGAAAAAGAGTTTCTGGCTCTGTCACAGGTGTCGGCTGGCCAACACGTGGCGGGACGACGGTCAGGGGATCGACCACCTCAGTTTGCCAGTCGCGGCGCAGGCACCAACGAGTGTGGATTTTGTGGCGGCACACCTCACGCGCGGAGCACCTGCCCTGCCAAGGACAAAGAGTGCCGTCAATGCGGAAAACGTGGCCACTACGAGCGAGTGTGCCGGTCTCGCCGTAACCAGCAGTCCGTGTCTGCAACCGAGGTGTCCGACACTTACACAGATAACAGAGCGCTTCTCAACACAGAAGCTCTGTTCGTGGGCGACGTCAAGTCCAGCCAACGGTCGTGGAGAGTTGGAGTGCTGCTACAGGGCACCTGCGTCGACTTCAAGATTGATACGGGTGCAGATGTCTCCGTTATCTCAGACGCCCTGTACCACCAGCTCCAGAATCCTCCAGTGCTCAAGCCGTGCACCAAACGGCTGATCAGCGCCGCCAACACACCGCTCCACACCGTTGGCCTGTTCACAGAGTCTGTGACATACCCGGCATCCGGTGCCAGCGCCGTTATCACTGTGTGCGTTGTACAAGGGCTCCGTCACGCATTGCTTAGATGCAGCGACTCACTTTCTCTGGGTCTTATCACGCCCGTCTTCTCTAATGACGGCGTTCCTCCAGACGTAAAGCTGTCTTCCGACGTGCCAAACGACGGGCCAAACTCCATGCAGAGCGCGGCAGTTATCCCTCCCGGCTCTGAACCTGTTCCAGTAGCACCCTCTGCAGCTGACCGGATTCCAGAAGCCGTGCTCGCCGACTTTCCGTCCCTGTTTTCCGGCTTAGGCAGCCTCAAGGAGCCCTACTCGATTCCTCTCACCGACGGTGTCAAACCGTTCTGCCTCTACACAACCCGCAACGTGGCGCTGCCAATCCG